GACCCTCCCGGGCCACCCTCCCGGGCCACCCTCCTGGGCCACCCTCCCGGGCCCACCCTCCCGGGCACACCCTCCTCTAGTGCACTTAGGGGGCTCCCGTTGGTCCCCGAAATGGCCTGTCGTTTTTTGCGTGATAGTATGTGTCACATGATCGTTCGTGTCCTTGTACATAAGTGCCATACATATATGTATATATATGTATAGATGTATATACATGTATATATACATGTATATATATATATATACACACCGCGTTCAAAAGTGCGTGTCCACGAACATGCGCATGCACATGATTGCCAACCATGCTAACATATCAAATTGTGCATGTACACATATCTATGTGTACGCACGTGTTAGATGTGAGCGCGCAACTGTCTATATGCATGTATGCACGCACGTGAACCAGCGGGGAACGCCATATCACAGCATTTGCATAGCATAGCATATTCAATCATGTCATACCATAAGTTAGCGTCCCATATCACCGCATGCCATAGCATAGCATAGCATAGCATAGCATAGCATAGCATAGCGGAATAACTCACTCCCCCCCCCCGCCCCCTTCCTGAGCAGGCCATCCGTTCCCCCTCCCCCGATCTGCTCCGTGAACCTGCTGGCCCAATGAGCTTTGTTTTTGAGCTGCGCCTCGCGCCTTTGGCGAAGTGGGGCGATCATATACTGACTTAGTCGGGCGAGTTTTCCATGGCGGGCCAGGGTTGCGATGTGCAGAATCTACAAGCATGGGAAGTCTCTGACATAGATACAACGGCGCTCGAGGCTCATAATGGACCACGTTTGCGACAACTAGGAGTCGCTGTGAGAGCGCGCGATATATTTCAGCTCTATGAGGATTCATTGGTGGTGGGCTCGTCATGTATCGTGGTGGTTTCGTGTGTATGCCCTCCAGGCGGCCATCGTGAGTATTTGGACTCGCTTCTGTGGAAATATCTCAAGCACAAGCCAGACAACGTGCAGAGACGGCTGGTCTATGAGAACATGACGTACGAAGCCATCCTCGGTCAGTTGCCGTCATCGGTGGTGGTATCAATCAGCAGGCGATGGGATGCAATCAGAGTGAGTGGGACGCCATCTCAGATAGCCTTACTCAAGTATGTCGAAGGATATCATCCCAAGACTTGTGCTGAATGGGCTTCAGGAGATGTGATTCCCACTATAGGCGATGGCCGAGACTTGGTTGTCAAAGTTTCGAGTGCTGGTTCAATCGACCCAATGAATTTCGTCGGTGGTGATGGAAGGTTCGATTTGATTAGCATGCGCACGCTGGCAACTGTGAGTGGTTGGCGAGTGCTCTTCGTGGGCGACGGCGATGGTGGACTTGCGTACAACTGTGGGAGGCAAGTTAACATCAGGGTGTGCGAGTGCATCCCCGTCCAAATTCGCACAGTGAGCGACGCCACCAAGCATCAGAAGAAGAGGGCGTTGGGTCGCGACACGGGCTCTTACGAGGATTTCCACAGTTACGCGAAAGACTACAGGATCAATCAAATCATGGAGTCATTCCTTCGCCGGCAGGACACCGACGAAACGCTGTGGCCACCTGAGGGGCCATCGAGTTCGATGTTGCAGCCGCACGCTGACCTCAACGCAGGGGTGATGTGGCTATTTGCATCGATTGTTGAATAAATGTGAATTTCACGTTGGTGCTCAGTTTATTTGAATACGGGGTGCAAGTTAATTTGACACGCAGTTGTTTAATCAGCATGTTTGGCCGACGTGCTCAGTTGTGGCGTTGATGATCATCGCTGAGCCTGGCCAGACGTATTCCTTATGATTGGGAGTTATGTTCTGATGATGCATTTGCTGCAGTGGTGTGTAATTCCTGTATCGGTTCGCTGCTATGGGACTCGCTGTACGTACTGTGGTTCAGAATTTGGTGCCGAGGCCACGACTGTAAACTATCGCCCAGCGCTGCGACGGGCAATGGCTCGGTGAAAGCTCTGATAATCAGAGCGGTGCGCTTGCTAATTTTTTTCGGTGGCTCATGGTGTGAAATCGTGTCTTTGTAATGCCACAACGCACGCAAGGCAAGGAAAAGGAAGCGGAAGAGGAGGAGGATGAGGGGGAGACGGAGGAGGAAGAGCACGAGACTGAAAACCCTCAGGAGGAAGGATGACGATGATCGTTTCCATATTCACCCCCAGGCGAATGTTGGCGTCTGGAACGCCGCAAATAGAATCAAATTGTAAACGAGTGTCCCTCATTCTGGCGACCAGCCAGCTGCGCCACTCAAAACTCAAACTCCATTCAAATCTACCACTCAACTCAAACTCCATTCAAATCTTTCTCATCACGAAACGCCTTCATCGTGAACTTAACCTCGTAGAACGTCGGAGTGCATTCTCCGTTGAGGCGGCGCCAGGAGCTGGCCATGTCCTGGTAGAACGGCAGGAGCGTCGGCGGGATGTCCTCGTGCGTCGCCCACGTCCACTGGGACTGTATCTTCTTCTCCTGGTCCACTGGGCTGCCGAGCGTCCGACGCCGCTTCGCAACCTCTGCCGGCGTAGCTGTAGGCGGCGCCGCCGTCGGCGTCGGCGTAGCTGTAGGCGGCTCCGATGGCGTCGGCGTAGCTGGGGTCGGCTTCGCCACTGGCGTCGGCGTAGCTGTAGGCGGCTCCGATGGCGTCGGCGTAGCTGGAGTCGGCCTCGCCACTGGCGTCGGCGTAGCTGTGGGCGGATCTGCTGGCGTCGGCGTAGCTGGGGTCGGCTGTGCCACTGGCGTCGGCGTAGCTGGTGGCTTCGCCATTGGCGTCGGCGTAGCTGGCGGCGCGCTGGATGGCTTTGGCGGTCGAGGATCCGAGCGGCCAAGCATGTCCTCGTGCATGAGCACCATCGTCTGATCTGGCAGGCCATGATACTTCGACCGCTTGTGCAGCCAAGTAGGCTGCGGAGTGGCCACTCCTGCGACTGACTGCGCTGCCACTTGCGAAGCATTGGCACTGGTAGCACTGGCACCGCCTGCGCTGGAAATGGTAGCGCTGGCAGTGGCACAAGGGCTGGGGCTGTCATCAACCGAGGTCAAGTCAACGCTGCCGCTTTTCAACGAAATATGCCCATCACCGTCGTCGTTCAAGCTCTTCTTAGAAGGTTGAACGCTGCCGAGAGGTCCTTGAGAGCATTGATCGCCATCCCAGTTGAGGGAGGGCACATGAGTGTCTTGAAGAAACTCAGGCTGCGTATCTGACATCGTTGGCCAGCTGATGAGACTGGAATCGAAACCTGCGTCGGAGCCAAAACGGCTACACGACGGATAGATGGGCGCATGGGCCGCCCGTCTGTATCCTCATCCTCGTGACCATGAGATGGCCAGCGCTGGGCCGAGCATATTCTGGCCGCCATGTGGACGGCGCCACTGGGGCCTTGGGTGGAGCTCCCTATGGGACCACGAGGCGCGTGAGGGGTGTGCCGACATGGGGCGGCGCCGCCATGCGGACGGCGCCACTGAGACCTTAGGTGAAGCTCCCTATGGGGCATCGAAACGTGTGAGGTGTGTGTGTGTGCTTGCGTGCCGATGATGCTGACGGTAGCTGCGATGATGATGGCGATGTTGGTGGTGATGTTGATGGTGTTGATGATGACGACCAGTCTGTTGATGATGATGATGGTGATGATGGTGACGATGATGATGACGATGATGATGATGCCGATGACCATCACGAAGATGATGATGAGGATGATGATGGACATGCTGATGACGACGATGGTGGTGATGAGGACGATGGTGACGATGATGATGATGGCGACGATGATGATGGTGATGGTGGTGACAGCGATGGCGACTGCGATTTATGATGCTGGTGACGATTGTTACGTATGATATGGTAATGTAGTGATGACGAGGACGAATGATGTGGATGCTGATACTTCTGATGATGGTGAAATGATGATGCTGGTGGTGATGGTGATGATAGTGATGGATGATGGTGATGAAGATGACTGAGGGCGGAGGGGGGGTATGGGAGGAGGGGGGAGGAGCGAGGACCCAACACCGCAGGATGGTTGGGAACAGTGAACAGCGGCCCCCAGGTACCAGAACAGCCCATCAATCAGGGGGCAGAACAGCCCACCAATCAGAGCACGCAAAAAAAAAACAAACCACAGCATCCTGGACACACTCCCAAAGGGGTTACGACCGAAGACGAATACTTACCCCAGTGCGACCCTACCTAGAAGTTGGAGCCCCTAGGAAAGCAGCATTAGTTGCTATGCTATGTTATGATATGATATGCCATGCTATGCCGTGCTATGATATGTTATGATGTGCTATGATATTATATGATATGCTGTGCCATGCGATGCTCAGTTATACTATGTCATGACGCGTTGTGTTTCGCTAAGCTATGCTGTGCTATGCTATGGTATGCTAAGCTGCGCTATGCTATGATATGCTACGCGATGCGATGCGATGCTGTGCTATGCTATGTTGCGCTATGCTATGCTACGCTTGGCTATGATTGGGGCCCGCCCCGCGTCCCATCCGCGACCCACCCGTGACCCAACCCACGACCCACCCGCGACCCACCCGCGACCCACCCGCGACCCACCCGCGACCCACCCCGCGACCCACCCGCGACCCACCCCGCGCCCGCACCCTCTTTCTCATCCGCAATTGCGGGGTGCTACACATGCCAGTTTCCTCATCCGCCTCGTCCTCCTCAGTAGTCATTTGGGTTCAGCTCCGATTCGGGAGATGGCCCGATGTCGGGGAAGGCGGGGAGTGCAGCTTGCGGGGGGTGTCAAGCTGTTGACTGTTGCCGATGTTGGTTCTCGCAGCGCCAGGCTGAGCTGGAAGCCCAATTCACCATTGTACCTGGCGTCACGTGGCTCACTGTGTCTGATCAGCCTTGGGCAGTCGGCTGTGCCATATGTTCAGCTTTCGGTGCAAAGAGCGGCCATTCCTCACCATACAAGGACATTCGACTCACCACTCGTGAACAGCTGAAGCCTCGCGCATTGAAGAAGCACGAGGGGTCGATTGCACATATGGCCGCAGTCAAGCTCATGATGGCCGAGGGTGGCATCCGATGTCTCCGGGCTCCAGACGATGATGGCACTGCGCCGCCAACGACCGACATGGCCAAGGTCGTTGCTACCGTGCCTCCGCGTAGTCCTTCGAGACAAGCCTCACGCTTCGCGTCGACTACTGAGTCGCCTGTGGAAGGCGGACCCATTCCTGCACCAAGTCCACTCGCTGTTCGTCACAGACGAGAAGTCTCCAACAAAGCTGATTCAGTACTCGGAGCAATTCAGCGCGTGGTTCCAGAAGAATATTTCCGCCATCGAGCCGCACCTCAGGGCCGTGGCGAAGCCGAGCAATGCCGTGAAAGATTTGCGGTATGCTGGTCACCGTTTCGAGAGCGGCCAGCTGCCCTTGGCAAGAAGCGTGTTGTACTTTCCAGCTGTCATTGCCACCTTGGTCCAAGTGGAAAAGACACGTCCGAACTCAAGTGCAGAAGCTAAGGCTGTCACCAACTTCATGAATGAACTGGACTCGGAGAAGGCATTACAACTTGCAATGCTTGCGGACGCGGGGGAGGAACACTATCAGTTGATGAGGCTCCTGGACTACGAGGGGTTCCCGGCCGACGACCTGTCCTTCAACTTGAGCGCCTTCGTCGACCGCGTGAGTGCGCTCTTTGGGGCCGGCGGCCACCCGGCCATGGCCGTGCAGACCGACTACACTTTCACTGGGCACATGCTGAAGCTGCTGAAGCACCCCATCAAACTACCTGGCAATGGCGTACATGTACTTGGCTGTCCAAACGGCGTGGCCCCAGCGGTGCAATAACGATGCCTCAAACGGATGATCAATTGGGTCGCGAGTGTCGTGGATACGCTCAAGGCAGAGTTCCCCAGCTTCGAGACGATTCAGGCTTGGGGCGTCTTCAACGTCGTGCAGCACGACAGGGGCATGGGCGCGCGCACCGAGGGCTCGGCGAACGTGCAGCGCCACAAGCAGATGGAGCGCTTGATCGAGGCCTTCGGGATCGAGGCGACGGCAGACGAACTGGTGGGGCAGATGGAGTCTGTGCGCCATTTGGTGACGCGCGTGGCCGCGGAGCAGTCGCTGTCATCGCGGGATGCTTGGATGCGCGCTGCGGAGATGGCCACGGCGAACAAACGCGGTGGCGTCCTCGATACCTCGCTTTCTCCTCCATCAAAGCTCATGCAGGTGATCGTTCGCTACTGGGCAGCGGGCGGGTCGACGAGCGGGGTTGAGCAGTCCTTCGGGAAGGGCTACAACCACCGCATAGCATCCCTGGGCAATGACGCCTGCTGCGACCGCGTGGAGATCGTCGATCTCGAGAAGAGCGACCTACCTCAAGTGCTGCAGATGGCCACGGACATCTGGAGCGACATCTTCGGGCGGCCCCGAGCGTCCGGCAGTGGAAACAGGCAGCTGCGAAGCGACGCTGGCGGGCAACATTTGCAGGCCCGACACGAGGGTTGCGAGGGCGGCTGGCGGCAAAACAGGAAGCGTCAGCTCGACGCTGCGGCGAGCCCGGGCATGCTGAAGTCCGTCCGCGCCGTGGATCCAGGTGCGATGCTGCAGCCTGAGACGTGGACAGATGAGCAATCCAAGGAGATGGTTGTCGTCCACGCCAAGAAGTGTCAACGACTTTCCGAGGAGGCCTGGGCAGGCAGACTCGGAGCTCTAGAGAACGCCTCGGTGGGTGAGCTTCAGAAGGTGGTTACGTTGATGGAGAAAAAGGTCACCAACGACAAGCAATACATCGGGCGCGCCTTAAAACGGCGTCGCGCGGCGGCTGGACCGCCCGACATCACGATTGCAGATAGCAACATCTATGTCGCTCCTGACGCGCCGGTGACAGCGGCAGTCGTCGCAGCCAAGGCCCGCGAGGCCAACTTCACTCGGGCCACCGCTTCGGAGGCATCCATATTCGTGGTCAAGGAGGTTCAGCAGCCTGCGAAGTCAGTGCTCTGGAATGCTGCGTTGATCGGTGGCGCGGTCTGCACGTGGGAGCGCGTGGTGGCGGGCGCCGGTCCAGTAGCGGTGTACAGAGCAGCGCTGTCCTCGCATAGGATTGTCTACATGTCCGACGCCTTCTTAGCGGAGTGCCCCCGGCTCGCCGCTCTGATAGTCGATCGCGCGGGTAGCCACGCTGCGAGCAAGTGGAAGTTCACCAGCGACCTGGTGTATATCACGGCCAGGGCGGCCAAGACGCCCACAATTGCCATAGCCCTTTTAGGCTCGGCTGAATCAGGCGCTGAGGTGTGCCCAGGCGTCAGGCAAGCATTCGACGCTGCCGCGATGCTCGATTTCATTTCACGCCGTGATGAGGATCAATCGGCGATGGGTGCATGTGGCCGCTGAGCAATCCTCTTCCCCCTCCTACTCCTTTTCATCCTCCTCTGCCTCCCCCTCCTCCTCCCCCCCCTCCTCCTCCTCCTTCTCCTCCTCCTCCTCCTCCTCCACCTCTCCTCCTCCCCGTCACCCCCGCCACCATCATCGACATCGTCATGCTCCGGACACGCCTTAGAATCAAGGCTGCGGGCCCGCTCTCGTCGCCACTGCTCCGCTGCGAAAGTCTGGCGCCATCTTGGGAGGACTGTCTGATAAGAGCCCTGCGAGGCGGGGTCAATCACGCTGAACATCCTGGCTCAAAGCACCACCGACAGGTTGCAGCGGCATCAACAACATCAACAACAACAACTACTACAAACAATTTAGTGCAAATTATATGCGCGCGTGCGGCGCAACATGTATATCCCAAGCCCGCGACCCACCCGCGACCCGCCCCGCGACCCACCCGCGACCCATCCCGCGCCCACCCCCTCGCTCACATTCCCTGCCCAGGCTCTGCCTAGAAGGGCTCTTACTTTCTATGTTAAAGGGGCCGGGCACTCAGTCTCAGTGGAACGCGCCCCGGGCGGGCCCCCCGGCATCCGCCCCGCGGCCCCCCCAGTTCCCGAGACTGCCCCCGAGGGCGCGAGGCGGGCCATGCGCGCCCGAAAACATGGATGTCGCCCCGGCCCCCTCCGCTGACCACTACCGCAACGGCCATTTTAGGCCCCGGCCCGTTCGCGCGCCGCAGGCGCCACCGCCAGCGACGGCGATGTGGGCAGTAGTGCTGCCAGAGGAAGCGCCGCAGTCCACCGCCTCCGCCAATGCCTCTGCGAGCGGCCCTTCTGTCCGCAAGCGCCCTGCGGCGAGAGCGGCCTCGTCAGCAGCGAGGGCTCGGCCGAAGGCGAAGCGGGTGGCGACCGCGAAGGCGAAGCCGAAGGCTAAGCCATCCGCCAAGGCCGCGGCGGCCCGTTTCATGGCGCTGAAGCCGCTGCTGCCGGGGCCGCCGCCGACTGGGCCCATCGGCTACGCCAGCGACTGTAGTGGCCTCGACGCTGGTGCTTTTGCCCTTCGGCACATCACCCCCTTCAAGCACCACTTCGCCTCCGAGGTGGATCCAGTGTACAAGCGAATCTTGATGGCTACCCAGCCGCACGTCAACACAGTCTTCGACGATGTGGTTGCACGCGACCCTCAACAACTGGAGATGTTCGTGGGCAGAGTCACTATCTATACTGCTGGCTTCCCATGCCCGACATATTCCAAGCAGGGCAACCGCCAGGGCGTGGATGACCCCTCTGGCGCAGGGCTCGTGGTCTTCTACGTGGCGCTCACCATTGGCAAGCTGGCCCCATGCATCTTCGCCCTCGAGAATGTCCCCGAGTTCGCGACCGACAAGAAGTTCAAGAAGCAGTTCGATGTGACCATGCGCATCCTCTACGAGTGCGCGGACGGCATCTACAATATTCACTGGCACATCTTGAACTCCAGGGACTTTGGCGTGCCCGCCGCAAGGCGGCGCCTCTACATCGTGGGGATTCGTCGGGATCGGCAGCGCGCTGAGTGGAGTTGGCCAACTGGTAGCCAGACGGTGTCCCTCACTTCCATCCTTGACCAGGACTCGCCCACGGAGAGGCAGAAACATGCATCCTTGTTGGAGTTGAAGCCTTACCAGTTGCGCAATCTAGTCGCTGGCCTCGAGAAGATCAAGACGACGCACCCCGACGCCGATACCGATGCTGAGCCGTGGGTGATCGACGTCGGCAAGGGCCCATCCTTCGGCATTTCCGTTTACCTCGACGAGATGCCGACGATCACCAAGAAGCGCGCCAGGGAGCTCCAGTGGTTCACCACGAACCGCGGCGGCTTGATCCGCGAGCACGAGCTGTTGAAGTGCCAGGGCTTTGACCCGCATGCAATCGTCGTGCCGCCCGATGTCAATCGCTCGCGGCTCCGCGAGATGATCGGCAATGCTTACACGGTCACCGTGATGAGGGACCTTTTCAGGAAATGCTTGTGCGCGCTCGGGCGCGCTGATGATGTCTAATCTAGGCCAGTCAGTATCCGCTTGTAAAATTTACATTTGGCAGCCCTGCGTGGGCCCTGGCTGGTGCGTCGGCGTTCTGGGCACTGTGCGTGCCACCCTTACTGCGCCAAGAGCGCCATCGGGGTTGTTGGTGCGTGATGTTGGGTTCGTGGGCTCCGCGCAACTGGGAAGGAGCATCACTGCACCGCGGGCTGAAAATAACCTCCTCGTCCAGCCGTGGGCCGTGGAGCCCGCGCGGATCGACCCGGCTCGAGGAATGGTGGGGTCGAGAGCTCCGGCCGCGTCCTCCTTCTCCTCCTCCTTAACCTCCGCAGTGGGGGGGGGGCTCGACGCCGTCGTCGCCTCGGCGTCGTCGTCGCTGCAACATCTTGCTGGTTACGCGAACGACATGTGTGATGTGAACATGTAGGAGGTAGGATAATGACGGTACTGCCGCATGCGCCGCATGCAAGATAATGCAACCTAAGGCCTCGCCGTCTAGAACGACATGTAGGGCAATGGAGAGGAGGTACGCGATGATCATGCGAATGATGCGCGCGATAGTTTCGAAGAGCGAATCCTCAAAATGCACCGGGGGCGAAAAATAATGGTGAACATCGAAAATCCTTAAAGTCACAACTCCAACTCGGCGACTGAAATACCAGGGGTGCGCGTGCGCACCCCTGTTATTTCAGTGCTGGGCGCCCGGCGCTGAAATAACAGAGGTGCGCGTGCGCAAAAGACAACTTTTCCTTGATTTGCGCATGCGCAAATCTGTTATTTCAGTCGATTTGCGCATGCGCACCCCTGTTATTTCGGAGCTGGGCGCCCGGCGCTGAAATAACAGAGGTGCGCATGCGCACCCCTGTTATTTCAGTCCCCGATGGTCCCCAATGGTCCCCGGCAAAATTCACCGCGGCATCGTTTCGCAACCGACGGGGGGGCACCTGTGATGCATTGTAAAGTGCCCGTGCCGATAGCACACGCGCCGCGCGCTCAGTGCTGTGCCTCTTGAAGCCATCACGGGTAGACTGTATCATCTACGACATTACCCCATTGCGACCCTACCTGGAAGTTGGAGCCCCTATGGACGCAGCATTAGTTGCTAGGCTAGGCTAGGCTATGCTATGCCATGCTATGCTTCGCCATGCTATGCTGTGCTGTTCTGTGCTATGCTATGATATGCAATGCTAAGCTATGCTATGTCATGGTGCGCTGTGATATGGTACGCTATGCTATGCTATGCCATGCTATGTTGCGCTATGCTCTACTATGATGTGCTATGATATGTTATGCTGCGCTATGCTATACTATGATATGCTATGTTTGGCTATGTTATGCTATGCTGTGTTATGCTCATGCCGCACTATGCTATGCTATGCTGCGCTAGGCTGAGATATGCTGTGCTCTGCTATGCTAAAGCTCAGCGGCGCTACGATGAAGGTACGCTAAGCTAAGATACACCTGAGCCATAATATGAAGTTAAGGTAATCCAAGATGAACTACGCTACGCTAAGATGATATACGCAACGCCAAGCTAAGGGGACGTAGCTGGGGGGGGACCGCGGGGCGGATGCCGGGGGAACCGCCCAGGGCGCGTTCCCCTGCCCGGCCTTTTCAAGATCGAGAGTAAGCACCCTTCTAGGCAGAATCTATGTAGGGAATATGGCGTAGTATATCGCATAGTATGTAGCTTATGACATTAACGCATGATCATCAATCATCTGTGATATATTATAAGATACAGTGTGCATCTACAACATACATTATGGTATATTATATATCAGATATTACGCAATATTTGCCATTAGCGCATGAACATTAATCGTCTGCCATCTGTTACACACTATACAACTACAACACATAGCATATTCCCTTTAGGTTTTCCCATATCTTCCCCCAGATCTCCCCCCCCCCAGATCTTCCCCCCCCCAATGCTTCTTCCAGATCTTAGATCTTCCCCCAGATCCCCCCCCCCCCCCCAGATCTTCCCAATATCTTCCCCCAGATCTTCCTCCATATGGCCCCAGAGGATGTATGCCGCGCGGAGTTATTCACCTCCCCCGGGGCCCTCTTGGATTGTTATTTGGCCGTCCTGGGCGCTGCTCGGGCTCTCTTGGGGAATTCTTGGGGGCCACTTGGGGCGCTTCTCGGGTCCTCTTGGGCCCTTTTTGGGTCGTCTTGGGCTCTCAGAGGGCGCTTCTCGGGCCCTCTTGGGCCCTCTTTGGATTGTATTGGGCACTCTTGGGGCTTGTCGGGCTTTCTTAGGACGCTTCTCGGGCCCTTGGGCCCTCTTTGGATTGTCTCGGGGGCCTCATGATGGCCCCATAGCCTCCACGGGCATTGTTTTGCCATGCGCGGCTTCGGCGCGCGTCAGTGGGGCAGCGCGTGTCAGCGCAGCTCCTCCTCCATCATGCTCATTAGTAGCCATTTGGGCTCGAGACTCGACGCCGCCGAGTGAGGATTTCACACCACACCTTTTCAACTGGGCAAGCGCCATGGGCAAGCGCGCCCACGATGCTCCCGCTAGACCGCCCAAAGTTCCCAAGCGCGCCGCCAAGGCCTCCGCTGCCCCAGCAGGCGGTGGCGCAAGTCCGTCTTCAGTAAACCCTTTCGCCGGGTGCCTGAACGCGACGGTCCAACACAAGTTGTGCTGCTACGACGACAAGATCATGCGACACCCCGCCTTTGACGGCATCATGCATGACCAACCGACGGACAAAAGCGGGGCCCATGCCTACAATCCAGATGAGGCCAAGAAGAAGCTCGACGCTGGTCAGCCCTACGTGGCGAGCATCCCTTTCTTCTGGCTCAACTTGCGTTACGAGTCGCAGCCGAACGTGCCGAAGTACTGGAACCGCATCGAGAACCTTCGCGGCCACTTCTGGCAGACGCCTAAAAGCTACCCAGACACTATCACCGTCGCTCACACGCGGGGCGACGAGCTGCCGCACCTTCGGCATGGTCAACTCCAGGCGGTCTGCATGCCTGAGATGCGGGACGC